CGTAATGACATCCGATGGTCATGGGGACCATCAAGGAACAAGCGCCTGAGCGGCCCGTCAAAAAAGACCAGCAGAAGGTCGCGAAAGCGCTACATCCCAGCGGTTGAATTCGTGGCATCGATCGCACGATACCAGTTGAAGCACAGAGATATCGACAATCCTCAGCCTTTCAGGATCTGGTACGTGCGCTGCATGCAGCAATTGGCCCATTTCTGCGCATACGGACTGAAAGGATCTGAGTCCGGGCTCAGAAGCCTAAAGCCGCCAAGCCTGATGCTCTGCCTACCTCCTGAAATGGTGAAGCCAATTTATCCCCACCTGCTTAGGGGGGGGCGTCTGGAAATGTAGTTTGCATTTTCTGGGGTTTGCCATGTAAAAATATGTAGCGGTTACATTTTTGTCTGCAGACCTGAAAATGTAAGATTACATTTTCGACCCGTCTGCCAAGGCACCACATAGCCAAGTTACATTTTGAGAAAAAATGTAATATTACATTTTTCAGGCGCTTGAGTGTGGAGATTGGACATGTTAGGAGACTATAAATCAGGGATGGTATCGTGGGACACTGTGATTGCCAAATTATGGGACACTGCTTTTCAAATCAGCGAAAGCCAGAGCGTTCTTCGTGAGACGTCATCATGGGTGCGACTTTCTCCGCCGCGCACCCTGTAAGTTGCTGGTAGGGCTCACTGCCCAAACAACTTGCCCAGCGCTCGAGCCGGGCCAAATCGCTGCTCGGCGCGTCAACCATCCTCGAACGAAATAACAAAGCGCTGCCCGGCCGACTAACTTCAAAAAAGGTGGGAGGAAGGGGGGTCAACAAAAGTAGGCTACATTTTTCTGACCCCTCCCCCCCCCGTTCTCCCACCCCCCACCCACTGCCTCCACTGACCTTCCCTGTCAAGCCTCCCAGGAAAAATCGTTGACAATCCTTGAACATGTCAATACTTTTTTGTGTGGGGGGGTTGAGAAAATGTAAGCTACATTTGACAGGAGGTGCCGACTCTAACTACGTTCCAGCAATTGTGTCGGGCCATCCCCGCTACACCAAGCGGTAAAGATGTTCCACTCCGAACAAAAGACTCAGCCGGTCGTGCGATCGAAAGCCTCCCAGCGCTAGGGAAAATGATTTGTCTCGCTTGGTCGACTCGCCACGCTAGCTGACCAGCTTGGCAATGAGTTGCTGAACCTCCAGCGCAACTACCACGGCTTGATCTCCCGCAGGCTTTATCACCTTTTTTCATGGTTCGGGGCATTTCTTTTTCAACAGAAATATCGTCCCAGCGATTGCTGCTCTGGCCACGCAGATGAGTGGCGTTTGCACGCGCAGCGCTTGTGCACAGGCGTTGCGAGCTGCTAGTTCCACAGTGGGAAAAGTTTGAAGACTGCAACTCTGTGGGGATTGAGACAACTGATTCCGTATATCGTGCCAGTTATCCGGAAATGTGTTGAACAAACTGGCTTTGCCCAAGCATCCTTCTGGGCCGCGCTGTTCAAGTCAAGTTGCTTTTTCTGGCTGCTTTGTTTCCGGTGCGCCCGGACCACGTGTGCGACCCGCCAACGCGTTGTAGGATGGTTTTTCTTCTTATGTTTGCTTGCACGGCTCCCGTCATCCTTGGGCCCCTCCAAGGCTAAGTTCATAAAAGGCTTCGCCTCCAGCAACCAACCGTTGAGCACGCCCCCTCCACGAATCGGAAGGCTACATCGCGTACATCGGAATTATGCCTTCGCATCTTCTGTGGCACTCACGCTCTTCTGTCCAACAAGCAGTTTTTCATTTAAACAAACGGTGCTACTGGAATGACTACATCTTATTCATTTGCGTGCTCTAAATTCTTCCCCTTATCGCTATTTATCACACCACACGATCTCTTGTTCAACTTAACAAGGCGGGACTCCTGGTGTCAAACTTGCGAGATTGCCATGTTATCGCGTTCTTACATAGAAGTGTGAGGGGAAATTGCACGTGCGCCAGTTTGCAGGGGTTCTTAGGGCCTGCGTAGCTTCAGGAGCTTCCTGAGCGGGTTAGCCTGCAGCGCTTCCTGTGCGTGAGCTTGCAAGGATCAGCGGGCTTCAGTTTGTAGATTTTCCTGCGCACGTACTTGCGTTGGGGCCTTAAGTTGCCAAATTTGCCACACATTCGCTGGCGGAGATGATTAGGCGTTAGCTTGCGTTAGTCTGCAGGGATTCTTGGGCCGTAGCTTGCAGCATTTCATTGTGACTGAACTTGCAAGGTTGTTGGCATCTGTGGCAGGCACTGTTGGGGTTCAGCCTGCGCACAGTCCTGCCATGTCCCGCGGGCTGGTTTGCAAAGATTCTTGGGGTCTAGCTTGGATCTTTCGGCTTTGTAGCTTGTGGGAATTGTTGGGCTGTTAACGTCTTGTGCTTTAGCTTGCAGGGATTGTTGGGCTCGGGCTTGCAAAATTTCCTTTCTTGTTGAACTTCACTTTGCGTTCCCGGTGCAAGTTTGCAGGCGTTTCCCAACACCACAGGTTTTCAGCGCATCGCCTACAGGGATTGTTAAGCTCTAGCTACATACTTGCTTGTGAGCTGGAAGGGCTTATTCTCAGGTGCTTTTGGGTCTAGCTTGCGGGCATTGCTTGGCCTTAGATTTTGCAGATAGCCGGGCACTACAGGAATTCCACAAGCTAAACCCAAACAGCATGGCAATGTGCCAATAATGGCAAACATTTCTGCAAGCAGGCTCACAGATGACTCCTGCTCCTCAGGCATCTTGGTGGAAGTGCGAAACTTCCAGGCACAAAACCTCCAAGTACGCTCCCGAATGTTGCAGCGAAGCCATGCCAGCATGCGAGGCCCAGGCATGACCTCAGAGTCCAGAAGCACTGAAGGATACTTAGAAGCAAACTCCTGCTTGAGCGGCGCCAGGGTTTCTGATGATACCTTGGGCGGAAGAGGATGAATCAACGACGAATCCCTGCTCTCCACCCGTTGTGCATTGGCAGTGCGGGAGTCCCCTGACTGCGTGCACGAAAAGCTCGGTGCCAAAGCAAGCGAAGCGAAGCCTTGATAATGGGAGATCCTGGCAAAGCTAAATCGGAAAGCGCCGGCACTGTCCAGCCTTCTGAGGTGAGGGCTGATTGTGCATCTTCGGGGACCTTGCAGTCCTCCATCACAGCAAGCTGCGCAAAGATTGACCCCACCAACCCCTGCAAGCGATCGCGCAGAAAACTCAGCAAGCCAGGCAAGCCGAAGGTTAACCGTGCTAGCCAGCTAGCCCGAGAGAAACTGCTCAAACTAAAAACCATGCTGCAAGCCTGCGTGAAGGAAAACCGCAAAGTGAAGTTCAACAACCCCCAAAGGCTTCCGCTCAGGAAATTTTGCAAGCCCGAGCCCAACAATCCCTGCAAGCTAAAGCACAAGACATTTCGTGGGGAACCACAAGCTACAAAGCCGAAAGATCCAAGCTAGACCCCAAGAATCTTTGCAAACCAGGGGACTGTGCGCAGGCTGAACCCCAACAGTCCCTGCCACAGATGCCAACAACCTTGCAAGTTCAGTCACAATGAAATGCTGCAAGCTACGGCCCAAGAATCCCTGCAGACTAACGCAAGCTAACGCCTAATCATCTCCGCCAGCGAATGTGTGGCAAATTTGATAATTTAAGGCCCCAACGCAAGTACGTGCGAAGGAAAATCTACAAACTGGAGCCCGCTGATCCTTGCAAGCTCACGCACAGGAAGCTCCTCAATCTAGAGCCCGCCGATTCATGCCAGGCAGGAAAATCCCAAAACTAGACCCAAGAATCTCCAGAAGCCAGACCAACATGCAGCCCCAAGAACCAAGAAACCAAAACCCAACACCCTTCTATGCAAGAATGCGGCAGCAAGAATGCGGCAACATGGCAATCTTGCAAATTTGACGCCAGCAATCCCGCTTGTGACTTGCGCAGGGGAGAGGCAGCGACAAGGTGAACCATTCAATGCACACAGGTCGAACCCCTTCTGTCTCCGCATCTGATCCGTCAGTACAGTTGCCCAAATACAAAAATTGCGTGTGAGACAGAAGGGCGCGAATGCCACACAAGAGGCGCGAAGGAACGCGAATCACGCAATGTGCGCGATGTGGCCTTCCGATTTGTGGAGGTGGCATGGTCAATGGTTGGTTGCTGTCGGCAAAACCTCCTGTGAACTGCAAGCAAACATAAGAAAAAATCATCCGCATTACGCAAAAAACAAAAAGGAGAAAAAGCAACTTGACTTGGACAGCGAGGCCCAGAAGGATGATAGGGCAAAACCAGTTTGTTTATCGCAAGTCCGGATGACAGGCACGCTGTTCTGAATCAGTTGCGTCGTTCGGCGCTCAGAGTTGTAATCTTCCAACTTTTTCCACCCTGGGTCTCGCAGAGCAATGCCTTTGCACCAAACGCCACTCAGCTGTGCAGCCAGAGCAGCAGTCGCTGGGGCGATATCTCTGTCGACCAAGCGAGACCCTAGATGCAAAGCAAAACCCCGGATAGCCGGAAAAATCTTTTCGGGGCTAAGAACTCCATGGCTGTGGGCCAACTTCTCGACGCTCGCGCTTACATCAAGGGCCTCAGCTAACCATGACCATGCCCTGGTGCCTGGGTCTCCGCGTCCGGCAAGCACGTGCGATAGCAATTTCCCCGTCCACATGTCCAGCTGGCCGATCTTCGGCCAAGATCTTCTTCCTTGACCGAAATCTTCGAACCGTGTCCAAAGATGTTGCGGGGAGAGCAGCCAGGACTATAGACACCCGGGGCGAACCGCTCCTGGACCGTGCCAGCTGGGCTAGAAAACAATTTGGCTTGAGCCAAATATGGTCATTACGTGTAAATGCTAAAAGGGCACGCGTGCTGTGTGGAACTAACTCTTCACACATTCAGGTTTAGGCATCCTTGCTTCTGTCTGGCAGTCTCGCCCCAGATACACCACGCATGCTGACCAGCATGGAGCATCGTTGGCATTCAAGTCAGGACGAACGCTCAGCTGTTCCCACAAACACAACTTGTTCCTATGTCAGTCGTCTGTTAGCGCGCAGGCCACTTCAAAGCCAACCTGAATGGAAGCTAATTACTACTCGAATATGTTCCAGAAAACAAGTTGGTTAATTGAGCCCGTGGCTAAGTTTCACATGCTTGGTTTGCCAAGGAGGTTGGGCTATTTGCACCAAATCTTGACGCTGACGCGCCAAGACTTGGCTGGTTGCCTAACAGACTTTTCCAAAGGTCAACGTTCACAGACCAACCTATTCGCATTTTGTTCAGGTCTTTGTCGGGGTCATTCGCAACAGCCTTGGGGTCAGGTCCAGTGGAAATGCCAAAGCTCTTCGTTGCACCGTTTTGGGCCGACACAGTGGCAGCGCCATCCTCAACATACGGCAAGGCGGGCCGAGGCCGGTGAACCTCAAGCAAGGCCCCCCCCGAAAGTGTGATCGGCAAAGCCACACGCGCGACTGAAAACTCATTGGGTCTCAGGGAACTAAATGTCACATAGTGTCACCTGGCATCCAGACTCATACTTAACTCAACTCACCCAACAGTTGGGTGATTGAAAAAAAAGGTGACCGATCATGATGGGTGCTTTTTGTGTAAGAGCCCCAAGAAATGGCACCATCATAAACGATCATTCAAGTCAAGAGCTTTTGGTCAGCCAACTTTGGGCAACGAATCGCACCTGCTTGGAGGCCACGTAGTCAGGGTTGTCCCAGGTCATGTCTTGCCAAACCTGCGACTGGTGTTTGAGCGTTCAACTCTGAAAGAACCCTCAAGACCCAGCGTTTCCCTCTTTCAAGAACAAAAACCCCTTCAAAGTCTAACTTGGAATAACAATTTCAATTCTGTGTTTTTGTTGGTCAATTTTTACGTTAAAGTCGGAATTCCCGCATGGGACTCCAGTTGACTTTACAACCAATTTGCCGGGAAAAGGCGTTCTCCAGAAAATATGTCCGCTGACACTGCCCGGCGTGTCGGACACCTCGGATGGGTCCCCCGTACCGCGCAGTAATTTGATGACGTTCCACTAAACGTAGTCTTTGGGGAGCCGGTGTTGCCAAACAGGGGTCCCGGGCTCGAATCCGCCTGCCGGCTCTTTCTCCTTTTGCCGAAAATCTGGAAAACTCTGTGTTTTTGGACGTCCTCTGTGCGAAAACGCTTAAAAACGTGTTTTTTGTGGGAAATGCTGGGGAGCACAGGGGAAATGCAAGGAAGTGCACGGAAATGAGGGAAGGAAATAGGAAGTCGACATGACAGGAAAACAACGGGAAATGAAAGGGAAACAAAAGGGAACTGAAAGGGACAGAGATGAAAACAAGGGGAGTGCAGGGGGAAGGAAAAGGAAACAAAGGACAAGGCAGCCAATCGGCACGACGGGAAATGTAGGGAACTGACTCGCAACGAAAGAACGGGACAGGCGTGGAAAATGAAGCGGACATACCGAGAAAATGACAGGGGCATGAAGGGGGAGTTGAAAGGAATGGACGGGACATGACCAGGACATCACGGGAAACGTGAAAAGGAGATGAAGTCAAGGAGAAAGCCAGTAGTGAGATGACTTCAGGGTCATGAAGGGGCAGTGCCCAGACATCGAGGCAACTCAGGGGCGACGTGGCGCTGCAATGCAGAACGAGAGAGAGAGAGAGAGAGAGAGAGAGAGAGAGGGAGAGAGCGGGAGAGAGGGAGAGAGAGAGAGAGAGAGAGAGAGAGACAGGGAGAGAGCGGGAGAGAGGGAGAGAGAGAGAGAGAGAGAGAGGGAAAGAGAGGGAGAGAGAGAGAGAGAGAGAGGGAAAGAGGAGAGAGAGAGGGAGAGACAGAGACAGAGCGAGAGAGAGAGACAGAGACACAGAGAGAAAGAACGAGAAAGAGAGAGAGAGAGAGAGAGAGACACTAGGTCCTCCAGCAGAGAGGTCAGAATAAGGGTGCCCTTTTTCTGGACAGGAAGGAGACAGGGAGACAGAAAGAGACGGGGCGACAGAACACGTGGGGGAGGAGACAACGGAGAGGGGAAGAAGGAGAAGAGGGAGAGGACAACGTTGGCGGACTGAGCCGGAGGCTCTAAAGTTTTGAAGTAAGAATCCAAATTAACAATCCTCTTCAAAATGGAAAACCCTATTCAGATCATAGTCTCTAAGATACATTACGCGCTGCTCACTTCAAATTTCTATTTAAGCTCTATGTAGGAGATTGAACAAATCATCTTGGAAAACGACATCCTGTTGAACATCTAATTGTAGAGAAGAGTTCCAACCATTAGAAGCAGTCTTTTAGGAGGAAACGCAGTTGTGAGCAGGGCTGGAGGAGGGGGAGGGGGGGTGGGGGAAGGGGGGTGGGGGGCGGGGTAAGGGGGTGGCATGTTACCGTCGTTATGAAAGGCTTGCATGCACAGGAACACAATTTTGCACACAGGCACGTGCTGGCAAAAAGCATCTGGAGAGCGACCATGTCCGTCCCGGATCTATTCCACACGATGATCCAATACGCCAATGGTGGGTGGAGTGTATCTGGAAGTCCCTGGGAGGATTGTCTTGTGGGTATAACCTGTAAAGCGGTCCGCAAGTAATCCCTTTTCTCTGCCTGTACGTGTTTGGTATGTACAGTGGCAAGAAAAAAGTAGAAGAGTAGAATTTGCTAGAAGGGCCTCTGTGACGAGGGAAGCACGCAAACGACCCGCTTGCTTCATAGTGGGGACCCAATGTATAGACAAATGGTATCATTGCAAGACGATACGCCAAGTCAGCTGCACTCGCTACATGGGTCGCTTCTTTTGTAAGTACCAGCTTCAAGAATTATTTCTGCCGTGCGTTGGCAGCAGCTTGTTGGTTCAGATTTTCGAGTAATTGAGCTGCAAATATGCAAAAAAGGATTGAGTTTTTGTACAATTTTGCATAAAACAATGCTGTCCTGATTCTCCCGTTCACTGTCAAGCATGCGCCAGAGATGACAAATTGCAAAAAAGCCAGGGGAAAACACGTGTGACACAGCTTTCGCCCAGGTTTTTTTTAACAGCCTGTGACCTTTTAGGAACACCCATGTAAATATCTTTTCAACTAGAACTTCTAACAGACTTGTGTATTTATTAAATTGTCTTGGCACTATGCCAAAACATCAACCCGGGGGGAATCGATTCTGGCCAACAAGCTTTTGTTTGCCTGGGCAAGGGGGCAGCTCAGTGCAACTTTGATCAGGGAGTTGGCTGACTGTGCCGTTCAAGGTGGCGCAAGCCATAGAGATTTGGTTGCAATTGCACAAGCTGGTAATTTGGGAGCACAACCAGGGAATGTGCACAGGCAGATCATGAATCACTTCTGCTCCAATGTGCAAATTGCAGCCAGCTTTGGTGTATGGGTTCCCTGCACCCACCCCAAAACAAACAAGGGTGCTTTGGAAAAGGCATCTATTTTTCTACCCCACATGATGTTTGCTGCATTGGGCCAAAATTACCGAGGTGTTTTCCAAGCTTTTTGGCTTTGGAAAAGGCCAGCTGGCAGAGTTCTGGAAACAAATAGCCACAACAGGCGATCAGAAGCTGAAGGGCCACCCCATGTCTTTGGAAAAGGGCTGGGAAAATAAAACCATTCCCTTGTTCATTCATGCGGATGGTGTGGATTATGCCAACAATGACAATCTGCTTGTCTTTTCCCGGGGCTGCTTGGCCAGTAACCTCCCAACTTTGCTTAACCGTTGGCTTCTGGCATGCTTCCCCAAGTCTTGTGGCACAAAGAAAACTTGGGAAGTTATTTGGAAACATTTGCACTGGTCTTTTGAAGCTTTGGCATGTGGCAGGCATCCCACAGTGGACCCAGATGGCAAGCCTCCTCCACCCTCGGGGCGCTTTGGAGTGTGATTGGGGATCATGAATTTCTGCCCCATTGGTCTGCCCCATTGGGCTCTCATTTTCCTTGTTGGGAATGTGATGCTGAACATTTCACTCCCTGTACCTTTGGAAAAGGGTACGAGGAGATCTGATTGGAAAAGCAGAGGTTTGTCCTCTACACACATGAAGAGTGTGTGGGTGACCCATGGAGTGATCATGCAATTTTCAAACTCCTTGGGGCTGCGTGGTCAGAGGAGATGCCCTCCATATTCTTTTTCTGCAAAACGAATTTATGGCCATGTGATTGGTGGTGTGCTTCACTACTGCTGCTACTATGAAGGGCCAAGGATGAGAAGAGCAAAAAAACATTGGGAAAGGTTGGGTGTTCTGTTTTCACAAATCCAAGTTCATTATACCCAGCAGGAATGCAAAATCCGACTGACAAACCTCCGCCTATCTATGATCTGTGACCCTAGCAGGCCATGGTCAAAGCATCCTGTGTTGGAATGCAAGGGGGGGAAGCCAAACACCTGCTCCCAGCACTCGTCCCTGTCCTCCAAACAGTTTTTTGCAGACACCGTGGAGGTGTGTGAAGAAGAAATGTTGAGGGCAGCCACCAATTTGGAAAAGCTGGTTCAAATGTGGGATGACATTGGTACTCGCTCCGCCCCAGCTGAATATGAGAAGAGTTTGTTCTTGGGTGGTGCTTTTCTCAAGAGCTATGCCTGGCTCAATGCATGGTCTTTGGAAACGGACAGAAAGTCATTCCACATAGTGGCCAAGCACCATTCCTTTTTGTATTTGCTATGGAATTCAAGTCATCTCAGCCCAAAGCTCCATTGGTGCTTTCAAGGGGAAGACTTGGTAGGTCAAAGCAGTAAGCTGACCCATTCAGTCTCAATGGGGGTGTCTTCCACAAGGTTGTCAAGCAAGGTGGTGGGCAAGTACAGAACACTAACCCACCTCTTCTTCACCAGATCCATGCAAGACATGGAGGAAGGCTACACAGACGAAATTTGGCTTTGGAAAAGCTTGAAGCCTTGAGAAGACACCTCTTGGGCCAGCTTGCTTTGGAAAAGGTTGCAGCAGCTTTGGGAAAGGTTTCACCAGCTTTGGAAAAGGTTACAGCAGCCTTGGAAAAGGTTGCAGCAACTTTGGAAAAGGTTGCTCCAGGATTTTGTGCAGTCTGCAAGTTCAAAGAAACTTGCTGCATGTACTTTGTTGGAAAGTTTCAGCTCTGTGGTGTGTTTCCACGGTTTCTTGCAATGCGTTTTCTTGAGTTTCTTTGTGTTGTTGATTTCCTTGTTGAATTTTGCTGTTGAAACCTGCTCTTTTTCTAACTGCTTTTGCCTTTTAAAGATCAAATTGAGAGAACTGATTTGCAAACCCTTAGAATCATTTTTGACTCTAATCAAAAAAGCGATGCTCAGGGTTGGGTAGCAAAGGAGCCCGCCGCTTGCCCTTGGGTCGCAAACGAGCCCGCCGCTTGCTCTTGGGTATAAGCAACGGAGCCCGCCGCTTGCTCTTGGGTAATGTTGGGGAGTGAATAATAAAGGCCCCCCCAAATAAAATGGGGGGGTCAATAGAGAAACCCCCTAAAACAAAATGAGGGTCAGCAGACCGGGTCTTCCCTAAGTAGTGTTCCAGTAAGTATTGGTTAGTGTTGGTTTAGTATTGGTTTAGTATTCTTGCTGACTGGATGAGTACCGCTTAGAATTGGTTTAGTATTGGTTTAATATTCTGGTTGAGTGGCTTAGTACTGGATAGAATTGGTTTAGTATTGGTTTAGTATTCTTAGTATTGGTTTAGTATTCTTGCTGACTGGCTTAGTAATTACTGCTTGTTTAGTATTGGTTTAGTATTCTGGTTGAGTGGTTTAGTGCTGGTTAGAATTGGTTTAGTATTGGTTTTGCTGA